TGTTCCGTAACCTGATCGGTGAGCGCCCACTATCATAATATATATATATATATATATATATATATATAACATACTGTAATAACATACTGCCTATATATATACGAAAGTGAATTTGAAGACAGATCAGTGGTTAACGAGCCGAAGGAATTATAAACTAAATGTGTACTGAAATTAAATGATGTCTTAGACGGATTTGCACAAGTAAACGGGCAAACTACGGATGCTTAGAGTCCCCAATGCCGTTCGAAGCCAGAAAGGCAGATGCTACGTTTGTGTACACAAGCGCTTGAACAACTTGATATATGTAACCTCAACCGGGACTCGTTGTTTAGCCATATTTCAGTCACGTCAACCAATTCGTTTCTTACAATTAAATTAGAGGAATTTCCTAAATTTGCCAAAGAACTCCTATTTATTAAGTGACACTGATAGACCCCTGGTAACTTCCGAATTTTCTGCATAGAACGTCCTGCTTGAACAGGCAGCTTGCCGCATCAGCATTGACTGTACGGGTAACTTGACTTATAATAATGATTAAAATCACACCACCTGTCGCAGTCTCGTAAGTCAGTGGCTAGAGTGGTGGCCGAATACAAGCCTTCCACTAGTTGTTATGGATTCTGACCCCACAGAGGCCGTCAAATGTTTTGCAAGTTATGTTCTATAAGGACTGATAACTGGGCCAGATTAATGTCACTTTCCTTACCTGAGTGAAAAATGCTGAATTGAGATTTGTCTCCATGGATAAAATACTCCTTGGTGTAAGTAAAAAATTCGCCAATGAAGTCGATATGCTTTCATAAATCAACGCGAAGAGACAGTGGTCATTACTTCCCAGAGGAAGCTAGAAGGGTTCCTAACGAAGCCGTTTCTGATGCCTCCATCTGAATGATGATGACGAAGAATACATATATTTTTTGCCTTACAGTTTTAACTGTGTAACACTGACTGAAATGTTGTGTGAAGCTATATTGATCGACTCCACATGCCGGGTATGGCTAATACGCGGAGCCATGACTTGGAACCTCGAAAATGTGTCAGTGCAACACTGAACGCGAGATCAGATGTATTGGGTTTCAATCGTCAGAATACTTTAAAAGCATGTCGATAAATTCAAAAATAGGAAGCCTGGGACGGCGGGATATCTGACGATGCAGGCAAAAACAACTGAGATGTATTCAAATCCATACCGGCGATGGTCAATACAAACTCAATGTCTGCAATAATGCCAGGCGGTTTATGACGACGGGATTGATTTGCATGAAACAAATGGTCGAAGTGTATTTGGCTATGTATGAAGGAACTTACTTGCACTTAATAATTACACTGTAGATTATAGGACACTGCACAATAACCGTTTAAAGGACATATTGCCAATAGAAGCGAAGCCACGAGTCCCATGAAGTAGTCTTGAAGAAGAAGGCACGATCGCTAGGATAAGAGCTTTATTAGCCTGACGTTTCTGAGTCCTGTTCGATTCCATCATCAGTGACAGCAGCAGATACGGGTGATACACGGACAAGGGGCTGCAGTATTCATAGGATGCAGTCGTCATGCTACCGCACACCTACGAACATTCATGGCTCCCCCCTTCATCCGGGACCGTCGCACTTAATGTGCTAAGTGTTTAATGACGGACATTCGCGTCGTTAAGTGCCGCAATCTCATCACGTGCTTTTGATGTTGGTGTGATGATTGCTCGACCATCTGACGCATCGGCCCTGGTGTTGGGAAAAGTGTTCTCCTGTGCGCTCCCCTTGTGGCCAATTACGACGTCTAGACGAAGTCTCAGCACAGAGTATGGAAAGGAAGTTCATTGCACTTGTTAATAGACTGAGCGCCAGTAAACCATGATTCAAGTAACTCCCGGCCCTCGCGGTTGTCACCTCTTGCGAGAATTTCGACTTCGTCGAATTCGAATGTGTGGCCGGATCCCGTCGAATGAGCCGAAACTTGAGAGCTAGCGTCATTTCTCCGCACCGCTGCAGCGTGTTCGGCCGTTCTCGTTCGGAGCTGTCTTCCAGTTTCTCCGAAGTAGTTTCTTTGTCCGCAGCTGCACCAGACCCGATAAACGACTCCAGATCTTTCTGGCCGTGGCAGCGGGTCTTTCGGTTTCATTACCAGACGCCTGATGGTTGGTTGCCTCGGGTCTGTGTGCAACTCCAACCCCAAGTGGTGCGAGGATGTGGCCGACAGCTTCCGAAACGGTCTTGACATACGGAAGCGCTCACCAAACTTTGGTGTCCGGACGGTTAGGCCTTTCGTCCCTTTTGCGTATGCACCGGTTGAGAACGTTGCGCGGGTATCCATTAGCTTTGAATACCCGTCGAAATTATTTTATTTGGGCAATCTTGTCTTCCGGTTCACTGCAGTGCGTTTCGACCCGCCGATAGAGCGTCCATACACAATTGCGTTCATAGGTATGCGGTAGCATGGCGACTGCATCCATAAATACTGCAGCCCCTTGTGCGTGAATCACCCGTATCTGCTGTTGTCACTGATGATGGATTCGAGCAGGAATCCGAATCGTCAGGATAATAAAGCTCTTGTTCCAGCGATCGTGTCTCCTTCTGCAAAAATTGGACCTATTTTTTAATGTTCTTGACGAAACTTCTGATGTGCTTGACTAAGTCCAAATCATGAGTAATCCGGTCTAAGTAAGTATACAGGACATTTGCCAGGTAGTTCCTTCTAAAGTTATGCCAATACAAACTGTTTTATAATTTATGGCCTCTTTGGTTGTAGATGGCGTTCCTCATTTTGGTCATAGAGAGAACATAATTTTTTGTTGACATTGGTTGGCAAAGAATGCGTGATATCCACAGAGTCCGCACTTGGCTAACTGCCTCGAAACACTGGCAGATTAAAATACTTCCCGACGTTTTTTACACATACGTCAGATGATGGAATGGGGCTTACAGTGTATTTCGTTGATTGTAAATGGTATAAGCGCATCAGGCCGGAGTTACCGGTCTTTTTTCGTATTAACTGTTGCTGATTTGAAGTTCCAAATCGTATTTGAAGTGTAGAGCTTACACCGATATTAGTTTGACTGATGCTTGCGATGACAGATAGGTCGAAAATCGTATTTCAATTGTTGGCGCTGGCTTCTGCAATCTTAGTGGCAGCAACAGGAAGAAGGGCTCCTCGACGATCGGATTGATTTACATGATCGATTTTCATTTGTTCAGTTGACTACACTTTAATATACTAACTTGCATCTACTTAGGTCACTTGACTTTAGGAAACATCCCTTATCGCGCCCAGGGCTATCCAGGCTTCCGATTTAGGTGTCGGAGTAATAATATACGAGTTTAAGGGAAATAAACCTGCAGGTTGGGCATAAAAATTAGTGAACTGTTCTTTAAAAACAAAAAGCGGAAATTTCGAAAACGTCAACGTCACTGTAAAGTGTTTGACCCATTTTTAGATGTGCTTAACGTCTGCCTGCGAAAACGATCGAGCAAATAAGACAACACTTAGAGTAACGCTTGATATTATCTCTGTGGTACGCGTGGAATTAACTCTACTTGAACAGTTAGTGTAAATCAGACATTTTGGTTATTCTATAGCCCGAATTTTGAACATTGATCTTCAAATATTTTCACGTAACGTTGTGACATATTTTTGATTTTCACATTATCATAGATGTGGATGACTAAGGCGCCGAGGAGACCAATTGGGATGGAAATATAAGAGATCACATGTGTGCACAATGTTCTGACGCAAAAAGTTTCTAGGATGTGCCATCTAAATATACGTTACTTAAAATGGAATTTCAATTAATGGACTCTTTCGCGTGGGCGTAAATTATTCGGCTAACCCGTTATATTACAGCTCACATTTTGGCAGCAAAAGTACTCTGTATATTGTGATTCAGCTGCAGTAACAATTTTTAGATGACACTGATGGCGAAGAATGCGTGATATCCGTGCTTGACTAACTGCCTCGAACACTGGTAAAAGAAAATGCTTTCCAGCGCTTTTTACACATACTTGAGGTTATGCAAGACACAGGGGAAGTAACTCATTGTAAATGGTAACAACCCACCAGACCAGGTCTGCTGGTCTTTTTTCGGAGGAACTGCTACTGATCTGATGTTCCAAATTGTACTTGACGTGCCAACCTTAGACTCAGGTTTGACTGCCTAGGCCACTTCGAGTAGGCGTCAACCAAGTTTAGATAGGAGACTCCGTCACATGGGCAGTGAAGTCGTTATGCGCGCGTGACCAAGGTATAAAGTGCAATTCCGGTAGAAATGTCACGTGCCATAGTGACGACAAGGAAATCGCAGAAATTTCGCCTTGGGCACTTGCTTGGGTCGCGTAACGGGATGCTATTTGATGGATGTGACCGTATGGACTGATTAAGATGTAGCAGGGTTCTGAATCATGGGGTTTGACGAGGCGGCATCTTGGCAACTTGCTGACCCGGGGCAGTTATTGATACCGAAGGCGGTACATCCGAAGGAAGCGCAGCAGTGGGTTCGGGAACCGACAGATCTGCCGGAATGGCGAAGGTATCCAGTAGGATGTCAGGAGATAGTAACGGCACCGACTCGAGCCCGGTTGTGTTACTGCAATGTCGCCGTCCGATCTGGTTGTGGTGACGAATCCAGATGTCTTCACCAACGTCGACATCAAACAACGTTCTGCTTCTGTGCGCTACGATGCTTGCCTCAATATAGTCTGGGGACCCCGCTCGATAATCACGAAGGAAGACAAGTGTTCCGAAGGAAAGCTTGCAGCGAGAGACTGGAGAAGTCTGCGTGGGCCGCACACCGGTAGGAACGAGTACATGAAGCGTTGTACGCAGTTTTCGGCCCATCCACTCCTCGGCAGGAGAAACGCCACTAAGGGACTCCAGTTCTGGTGTTGTCCTGTAGAAAAAAAAGAACGCCTGGACTGTCTCGTACGTGGTTCCATCCCCACGAGCTTTCAAGAGGGCTCTCTTAAACGTGTCGACAAACCGCTCTGCCTGAACGTTAGACTGAGGATGGTAGGGCCGCAAGCGAAGCTACTGGATGTTGTGCTGGCGGCAGAAATCCTCAAATGTAGACAAAGTAAACTGAGAGCCATTATCTGAAACCCGGACTTCCGGTAAGCCATGTTGGCTAGAGATGCGTCGTAGGAAGGCGATAGTAGAAGATGCGATGGCTGGAATCAGAGGAGCAATCTCGGGCCACTTCGAGTAGGCGTCAACCAAGATTAGGTAGGAGACTCCGTTAACTGGGCCAGCAAAATCGATATGCACGCGTGACTTAAACGTCTCCGATGGTTGCCAGGGTTTTGGAGGTTGACAAGGCGGCATTTTGGCAGCTTGCTGATATCGAGAACAGCGTCAAAACAGGTCGTCGATGCCGCCGTCGATCCCCGGCCAGTAAGAAAAATTGCGAGCAATAGACTTCATTCGGCTGGTACCAGGGTAAGCGGCATGGAACTGGCGTAGTACAGTGGGCCGGAGCGAAGATGGGATCATCACACGGTCCGAAAACATTAGGCAAGAGTCAACCACAGATAGCGATGCTCGTCGGAGGAAAAGCTAGTGAAGATCACCAGCGAGATCAGTGGTTAGTCAGCAGGTCTGCACGTAGTTGATGGCCTGATGGAGGACAGGATCGTGTTCAGTAGCACGTCGGATGTCCGCGGTAGTGACAGGAGTACCTCGTATGGCGTCTGATAGCTGACGGCGCACACCGTCCTCAATCGAAATAGCGGCAATCACAGAATCTTCCTCAGGTGCCTGCTGATTGCTGATGAGGAAATAAAGGGCGTCAGCATGACCAACGTCTGTAGTGCGACAGTAACGAATGTTGAAATCGTAGCCAAGGAGGATGGTTATCCATCGCTGAAGTCGACTGGCTGAATAGACGGAAATGCCCTTCTTCGAACCGAATAGTGACAGCAGTGGTTTGTGATTCGTCAACTACGTGAAGTGGCGACCGTACAACAGTTTGGGAAACTTCTTGACAGCAAACACGAGGGCTAGAGCCTCTTTCTCTATTTGCCCGTAGTTCTTCTCGTAGGGGTTAGCATGCGAGATGCATGGATGGTCGCCTTTTCAGACCCATCAGGGAAAGTATGTGAGATGGCGGCACCAACACCGTGATTGGAAGCATCTGCAGCAACAACGATCGGCAGCGTCGGGTCGTAGAGCGTGAGCAGCAGATCTGAACTCAGCATCGACTTTAACTAGGTGAAGGCCTTTTCACAGTGGGGGACCAACACCAGGGAGCATCCTTCTCCAACAGACGGTTGCGCGGGGCCCGTACGTCATGCACCGATGGTAGGAAGGCGCTATAGTAGCTGACCAGGCCAAGAAACGAACGAAGTTGCGACGCATTCTTGGGTGCAGGCATCCGTTGGATGGCCCGAATGATTTCAGGATCTGGATGAAAACCAGTGACGTCAGAAACAAATTCAAAGTACTTAATGAAGCCGAGGAAGAATTGGCACTTGTCGACTTGTAGGCGAAAGCCATATTCCGCACGCATTCGAGTACTGCGCTCATTCGGTCTTGCAGCTCGGCAGGGGAGCGACCCACGATGATGATGTCGTCCAGGTACTCAGCTGTGCCAGGGATGCCGGAGAGCATTGCGTTCTTCGTTTGTTAGAATAGGGCCGGGATGGTCCTGACGCCAAAGGGCAGCCTGTTATATTGGAACAGACCGCGGTGGGTGTTGATGGTCAACAATTAGCGCGACTCCGAGGTGAACTCGATCTGCAAATACGCATCAGCGAGACCCAACTTGGCAAAGCAAGTGCTACCATTCAGCAGGGTGAAAAGATCAGTCGTAACCGGTATTAGAAAGGAGTTAGGCGTCAGCACGCCATTGAGACCGGTTGAGAAGTCAGCACAAATGCGGATCGAGCCATTGGGCTGCTTAACCGCAACGACTGGAGCGGCGCAGGCGGAGTAGGATACAGGAACTAGAACTCCCAGTTCCTCCAGACGTTTCAGTTCAGCCTCGACAAGTGGTAGGGCTGCATATGGGACTGGCCGCTTTGGACGGAAGACTGGTTGATTTCCAGATAAAAGATGTAGCACGGTCTGAGTGTACGTGCAACGACCCACGCCGTCTTGGAACACTGGAGCCAAACGCTGGAGAATGCACTTGGCTTGGTCTGCATGCACAGTGGGAATTTGCACCTGACGGCAAACAACGTGGGGCGGCACATCGGCCAAACTGAGTTGTTCAATCCAGTGGATACCAAGTAGGTTGAGGTCAGACTTGGTGATGTAACAGATCGCAGTGATGCTGGTACCGCGGAACGACACACAGCATTGCAGTTGCCCAATTAGCTGTACGAGACCACCGCACGCGTTTTTGGCGGACTGGGAAGTCTGCTGCATTGTGGGGTTGCCAAAAGACTGTCAGAGGCTCTCAGAGATGATGGTGATGTCTGAGGCGATGTCCAACTGTAGGAAAACTGCATGGCCATTGAGCTAAATGTTAACAAAATTTCTACGTCCAGCTGCATTGAGCTGGAATGTGGCCAAGAGACTGGGAGAATTACCAACGGACTGGGGTTTAGGCTTGCGTTTTGACCGGAAACGGTTCCTGGAACTAGAATTGACGGGGGCTGGTTTGCTTCTGGAAGCTGGTATTGATTTGCAGAACCCATCACGGTGTCCATCTGATTACAACTTAGGCAGCGATGCTGGCGGAAAGTGCAATCCTGGTGGAAATGCCACGCGCCACGGTGCCTACAAGGAGACGGCGGAGATTTCGTCTTGGTCACTTGCTTTGGCCGCGTAACGAGATGCGATTTGGTCGATGCGACCGTATGGCGTCAGTAAGATGTGGCAGGGTTCTGAATCATGGCGTAGTCGTGCTTGAGGTTGCTCAGCGTTTGGCACTCTGCTTCTAGCTCGTGAAGTGGGATTGAGTTGTTCTGATGCACTTTGGACAGGAGACGTGTCCGGATATCAGCATTATCGGAGGATTTGAGGCCGCAGATAAATAAAAGGCATTTAAACTGGTCTTCATTAAGATAACCGGGTTGAAAATGCCCATACTTGCGATTGACAATGCCCGCATACATGATGAAATAATCGGAATCTCGTTTGCTCAGTTGCAAGCATGGAAACGAATGTTGAAAGGGATGATTGCTCACTAAAAGTCTGCGACAACATTTGAACTATTTCCTTGCAAGTGACTTCTCGGGGATTCTTAAGGACGAAAAAGTTTGCATAATGTTCGTCTTCAGCAGGACCCAGTTTGCGAAGTTGAAATCGAACCTTGCATGCATCGTCTTGGGTAACCAGATCGACAGAGAACAAGTCCTCGTATCAGGAATCAAAGGTGTCATGGACGTGCGGGTCATAAAAGCATTCAGTGATGCTGCCGGCAAGGTGATCAACAGATTGCGAACCACCAGCCATGCGTGCTTGACGCATAGACGAGTTGGAGAGCTTAACGGTGAGTGCCTCCATCAGCTTCAGCTGCTGCTGCAACACCTGCTTCAAGTCGGCATACTCGTTAGTCATCGCAGTTGAAAAACTGCGTCACCAACTTGTTATGACCCACCTGGTGCTTGGGACCCTGTGGAGCGCATACGCACTCGACCCTTGTCTTCAATACCAAAGCGGCAGACAAAGAAAACATCGCCGACCACTTGAAGTGTATTAGAAAAAACACTACAAGTCGCGACTAGCTGATAGGTGACGCATATTTATTTACTGTGGTTCGCCGGCATTCGGCCTGATGACCTTCGGGAAGGGAGGAGTAGCCAATGGAGAGGAGCCTGATTAAGATGACAGCGCTGTAGAGAGAGAAAACGCACGTGGTCTCCAGTGATTGATTGGCTCTTGTTTTGGGAATATAGGCATTTCCAACAAACGCATATCCTCGATTATTTTAGTTTAATTTTAAATATTTCATCCCACCTACTTGGAAGTGCGCAAAAATGTGAAATGTGATATAAACCTCTGCAATACGATTTCATTTAAGATTTGCCTGCTTCTTTGTTTAGGTCAGCGGAGTTAACCTGCCGCTATACAGTACCTCACCTACAGTAGGTGGGCTAACTCACGCAGTATCAAGCGAATTTTCAAAATGCGTTTTGACTTCGAAAAGGTTCATTAAGTAAGGTTGTAAAACAAATCGGTCCGCAGAGAAATTCTTTAATAAATTGTTTACCTAAGAATGTCATCTTTTGAATGAATTTCCTTCCGGCTGCATATATATCTATAGTTTGTAAAAAATAACTACTTGAATAGAATACATTTTCTCATTGATTATCGATGCCTCGAAAAGTCTATTTATATGACAGGGAAGGCATTCATAAAAATATCCATTCTTCCTCTCATTTGGTAGCAAATTACGTCTCCAATTAATTCTATCCTCGAAGAAAGCGTATTGTTTGGTTTTTAAAACTTTTCGATTTCCGAATAATTTTGAACCCGGTCTATCGTCCCACGTGCATTCAGGATTTTCAAACTACAAGCCTTATATTTTACGCTTACAGAAAACCAGACATTTCTCTACGATATTAAGTGTGAACTGTACGGCGTTCATAGAATTAAGAGTTGGATTTGATCCATTTTGTTAACGTTACAAGCCACAGTGGTAAATGCACACATGAGGTTTTATGAAGGGCCATTTCAAGGTATTAAAAGGTATTGCAATTAGAAACATTTTTAACATCAAATTATGTATTTTTTCGAGTATAAAATTGAACGAAGACATAACTGTTTACCTAATGGGGAAGATGAATATTTTTATACGTGTTTACTATGAAATATAATTGAATTTTTAAGGGCATCAAAAATCAATGAGAAAAATGCCTGCTACTTAAATAGTCATTTTTACAGAGTGTAGTTTTTGTATGCAGCTGGAAGGAAGTTCGTTCGATAGCGGGCGTCCTTAGGTAACTGAAATATTACAAAATTATTTTGCAACCAGATTAGTTTTACAACCCTGTTTTATTAATCTTTTCGAAACGAAAACGCATATCGGAACTTTGTTTGATATTTTATGAGTTAGCCAATCCTCTGAATCTCACGATAGCTTTTAACGAAAGCTGCGATGAACGTTTTCAGACGCCTTGAAAGCTATGCGTTCTGTTCATTCGGCTAGCCGCTTTTAGTAAACGTTCTTTGCCCGTGCAAAAGTGGGGTTCAGAAATTTGATCAGGCAACAGTTTCATACATTTGATCGAAAATCGATGTTGCTATGTATTTAGACAATATCCATTGATGATGCTTGTTCTAGATTTTGTGCGCCTAATGCTAATTGGGGGTTCATTTCGAGAACCTATAGAATATATTTGGACAGTCAGACGGCATTGAAAATCGTATTAGTAAATCTAGGTGATTTCCTGACCAAAGGTGCAGTATAGACGCCCGAATGTGTCAAAATTGTCTTGTCATTTGGAAAACACTAGGAGCCTCGACATCTTGACTGAATGTCGTCGCCCGAGAAATGACTCTGTTACTGATGCCTAACTGCTGAATGAGCTTAAATTCGTTTCTACGTGGCCGAATACTCTCATCGTTGGGAGACTTTAAGGAACCGCATATCGACTGGAACTTGGCCTCTGCCGTCGGTCATGACGGATGTCTCTAAATTGCAACTGATTAGGCGGGCCTCTATGGGATTTTACCAAGACCATTTTTCCAAAATTTTTGACACTTTCGCGAGCGCCGCACCTAGGATGCGCCATACAGGCATGGAGATCCTGGACTGACAGGGACTAAACCCTCTTAGAGAATGTCTAGAGGCGGGCAAAAAAAATGTGACAAAAGGTCTGGGAGCACTATCCCATGTAACCAGACTGTTAACTCCCAACCTGTATCCCCCTTCCTACGCGGTGATCTCATGCTAATCATTCGCACTATGAATAGCCTGGACTGCTGCTTTGTCCGCAGTGATTTTTCGCTTAGGCTAACACGCCTACATTTTGCGGTTATCTCCTAAGAATACGCATGGGTAAAGAAAGGATCAATAGGCGAAAGTTTTATTCAATAGAAGAGTGGTTGCAGCGTGAAACGCCCAGCAAACTCATGTTGTACACTCCTCCTTTGTGGATTCATTTTAGTGTATGTTTGCTGGGTATGCAGCTTCCCGATTACCAGCCACTCATTCATTCACATAACCTGTAACCCAATTTACACATGCCTATGCTTCGTACAATGGGTAAGTGGCCGTTCATGTTTACCCTTTTTGACTAGCACACAGGCGATTGCTTTTCGCATGCAATTGTGAGGACAGTCTCTCTCTCAACATTCTACTTATAATTGTTTTTTTTCTCAGATGATTTGTAACCAGCAGGGAGTCAAAAGGCGTTTGCGTATGCTTCCATAGATAAAGCGAAACTGAATATCCTTGAATACTGGGAGTCTGACTGGCTTAACGCATTTTCGTCGGACATTAATGTGTTTGCAGAGACTCTAGGCATATCCTTTTATATTGCTAGAGACAAACGTCCGACGATTGAAAGGACGTACTTCACAAAGCTTGCTTACGGCCTACTGGTTGGGGCCATATAATGAGTCGGCACCCCCTTTATTTATTTACAAATCATTGATTGACCGAAATTATCGCGAGCCTGATACAGCCAGGCGGTATTTCTGGAGTACTTTTTATATATACTGCCTGCCGTGAAGCGATGATTTCGTAGCTAAAGGAGTACATCAATCAGTTCCCATTAGCAACCACACTCCATCTCAAAAAATTTCATTCCGCAACCGAAAATGTGAGAAAACGTTGCACTTCCCAACCACGTGCACGGAAAGGAACGTCGTTCAAACTGAAATAATATATTACAATATACAAGTAGATGTCATCTACAGCCCTTATGGAGGAAAGAGGTAGTCAAGGGGTGCGAACAGAACCAACTCCTTTTTAACACCCTTCGGCTTATTTATGTACATGTGGCGACGAGATTGGAAATAGATATCCAACTTTGTCATGACCAAGCCTAACCAGGCATCATCTATTGGAAACTGCTGAGTGAAGTACATGGCCAACGCAATTTCCTGGAATACATCAACACCTATAACGTAAAAAGTGCCAAAGGCATAAGGTGCGTAGTAAGGCCACGGCACCTCGTGCTTGGAGACAGACCACTTTTCGAAAGCCTTTAAAGCCAAGTGACGGATGACCCTTGAATGAATACTTGGCAAGCCCCAAGTCACTCGTCGAATCTGTGCGTCAGTGAGGGCCCCCAATTCGGCTTTCATACGGCTTGCATTGAAGGCGTAGTCATCATCAAGGAGGATGAAGACAGGAGGTCGTTGCTGGGAGGTGAAACACGGGCGACAGAAGCTAGAGGCCCATTGGAAGGTGTGAAATAATTTGAGGCTGAGGTTATAGTAGGTGTCTTCGTAGTCACCCACAACGAGGTCAC